GTTGCTAGGTGGAAGGTCGACGAGAAGTTAACAGGCAATCGCCAAAACAAAAGTTTTACGGAGGGCCAAAACAAAGCATGTGTTTCGGTTGAATGTTTCACAATTTGATTTATTCACTTTTTCGCCTTAAGTATTTAATGTATGTATGGATGATAAGTGGTTGTATGGATTAAATCATATATGGATGATAATTTGAATTAATTTTTTTCCCCCAGAACAATGAGGAACAAAATAGTATTAGTGGGGTACAAAACGACAATTATGTGGGTTACTAAACTTGAATAAGTGGGTAACACAAGATAAAATTATGGCATTATTAGGTAAAAGGCTTGATTAGAGAGTGGGTAGCAAAACTTTTCTTAATGTGGTACAAGGAAAAAAAAAAAAAAAAAAAAAAAAAAAAAAACAAGCTTGAAATAAGTGGGTACAATATTTTGAATCCAGAGCAAGAGGTACAAGGGTGCCTAAAAGTAGGTACAAACGTGTATAATAAATGGGTAGTACAAACTTGAATACAGTTGTGTAACAAAATTTGCAGCAGAATTAATGAGGTAAAAATCATGGTTAAGTTGGGTACAAAAACTTGAATAAATGGGTACCAACTTGATTAAGTGGGTACAAAACTTGATATAAATGTGTACAGAAGTTTTTTACAAGTAGGTACAAGGGCTTGATTAATTGGTACAAAACGTGTATAAATGGTAGCAAAACGTGCCTTAAATAGGTAAAAACGTTGTATAATGGGTACAAAACTGAAATAAGTGTGTACAAATTTAATTCCAGTATATTGAGGTAGCAAACACGATGGTTAAGTTGGTACATGAAACTTGAATAAATGGGTACCGAAAACTTGATTAAGTGGGTAGCAAAACTTAATTAACGTTGGGTAGCAAAAGTTTTTTACAATAGGTAGCAACTGTAGCAAGGCTTGATTAATTGGGTACAAAAAGTGTAATAAATGGTTACAAAATGGTGCCTAAATAGGTACAAAACCGGTGTATAAATGGGTTACAAACTTGAATAAGTTGTACAAAATTTGATCAGTAATATTGAGGTATCAAACATGGTTTAAGTGGTACAAAACTTGAATAAAATGGGTAGCCAAAAATTGATTAGTGGGTATAAAAGTTTTTACAAGTAGGTACAAGGCTTGATTAATTGGGTAGCAATATTTAAAGCAACGTATAGAACTAACTCTATAATGTGATGAAACTAAACACGAGGACAACTAGAACTAAAAGGAGTGAGCTAGGGATATCATGAATACAAGAACAAACACTTGGCTAGAAATAACGCGCAGCACAAGTAGAACTAACAGGAGATGGGCTTGACTAACAGGAGGGCATCTAGAACTAACTAGGAGTTGAGCTAGGGATAACATGGCGCATACTCGAGTACAAACACTTGTGGCTAAAAAATTAGACGTGGCACGAAGTAGAACTAACATCGAGATGGCTTGAACTAACAGGAAGACCAATAGGAACTAGCAATGACTGGAATAGCTAACATGGGCCACAAGAACAAACACTTGTGCTAAGAAATAACAGCCAACATTGAAGTAGAACTAACTCGAGATGATCCAGAACTAACAGTAGGACAAACTAGATACGTGTATAAATGGGTACAAAAACTTGAATAAATGTGTACCAAAAATTTTGATTCCAGAATAATGAGGTAGCAGAAACATGGTTAAGGTGGGTAGCAGAAACTTGAATAAAATGGGTACTAAACGTTTTTTACAAGTAGGTACAGAGGCTGAATTAATTGGTACAAACGTGTATTAAATGGGTACAAAACCGGTGCGCCTAAGTAGGTACAAAACGTGTATAAATGGGGTAGCAGAAACTTCCCGAGTACTAACACTTGTTGCTAAAAATATCGTGGGCAGAAGTAGAACTACTCGAGATGGGCTTGAATGCTATACAGGAAGAACATAAATAGAGACTAAACAATGACTGAGATAGGCCTAACATGGGCGCACAGAAAAACACTTGTGCTTAAGAAATAACGCCAGCTTGAAGTAGAACTAAGCTCGAGATTTCCAGAACTAAGCAGTAAAGGAACAACTATGAAATA